CTGGAACACTTAATTGTGCTCATGAGGAACCTGTACATAGATCAAGAGGCAGTTGTTCGAACAGAACAAGGTAACACCAAATGGTTTAAAACTTGGAAAAGTGTGTGCCAGGGTTGTATTCTTTCACCATACTTATTCATTCTGTATGCTGAGCAGTTAATTTGAGAAGCTGGATTATATGAAGAAAAACATGGCATCAGGATTGGAGGAAGACTCATTAACAACATACAATATGCAGATGATACAATTTTGCTTGCTCAAAGTGAAGAGAACTTAAAATACTTACTGATAAATATCAAAGACTATAGCCTTCATTATGGGTTGCACCTCAATGTAAAGAAAACAAAAATCATCACCAATGGGCCAATAAACAACATCCATATAAATGGAGAAAAGAATGAAGTTGTCAAAAACTTCATTTTGCTCAGCATAACCATCAACACTCATGGAAGCAGCAGTCAAGAAATCAAATGACACATTGCAATAGGCAAATCTGTTGCACAAGACCTTTTTATAGTGCTGAAAATCATAGATATCAGTTTGAGGACTAAGGCCATGGTAATTTCAGTAGCTAATGTAAGCCATGGTATTTTCAATAGCCTCATATGCATGTGAAAGTTGGACATTGAATAAAGAAGATAGCAGAAGAAATGATGCATTTGGGTGATGATGTTGGAGGAGAATATTGAAAGTACCATGGACTGCCAGATGAACAAACACATCTGTGTTGGAAGAAGTACAGCCAGAGTGCTCCTTGGAAGCCAGGATGGCTAGACTTCGTCTCTCATACTTCAGATCAGGAGGGACCAGTCCCTGGAGAAGGACATCATGTTTAGTAAAGTGAAGGGTCGGAGAAAAAGAGGAAGATCCTAAACAAGATGGATTGGCACAGCAAATAGGCTAAGGTATGTATAGCAAAGATTCTGTGAGGTTGGTGCAGGACTGGGCAATGTTTTGTTCTGTTGTGCATAGGGTCACTATATGTCGGTACTGACTCAATGGCACCTAACAACAACAACAACAACCCATAGTGCACCGCCAACTAGCCCAGGAGTATTGGTGACTACCCAGAGAATTTTCTCCTGGAAACCTCCTGGGTACCCAACTGCCTTTGGTACTGATGCACATAAGATTCAACCTGTCTCAGATAAAGCTCTCTAGCTCTCCTTGTCCCCAAATCTCTGCTTCCCTAAGACTTCCCACCACCAAGTCCATGTGATGCCCTCCACATTCCACCAGCCTGCTTTGTTCCACCACAAACCCAAATAACCGACTTGATGGCACGTGACACCCATCTCTGTCAGTCTGTCTGTGTCTCACTCTTCAGTTCCCCTTCAGTCTAAATCTGCATGTTGGAAGAATAGATTCTGAATACTCAATGAAGCCTGGGATGACAGTGGTAAACCCCAGCCAGGGAGAGAAATGAACCCAGAGCACCATTGGAGCCCCCTGGTGGGGAAGGAAGCACCATGTATTTCCCACACCACTGGCATCTCCAAGGGGGCCTCTTTGCTGGGCTTCCCACCCATCCATTCATTCAGTTGTGTGTCTGGTCCCTTCTTGACTCTGAAGAGACAGCCATCAACCAGACAGAAAGCTGGACCTTCTGGAGCAGACATCCACAGTCTCCCGGGAAATCGGTTAAGTGCTAAATTATTAACGGTACACTTGATGGTTCAAATCTACCATGAAGGGTCTTGGAAAAAAGGTCTAGTGATTTACTTTCAAAATGTCACTTCTCACTACAATCGAGTTGGTTCTTACTTATAGTGACCCTGTAGGACCGAGTAGAACGTCTCCCTCGGGTTTCTGAGGCTGTAAATCTTTCCAGGAGCAGACTGCCACATCTTCCTCCTGGAGAGCAGCTGGTGCGTTCGAACCACCGACCTTGTGGTTAGCAACCCAATGAACCCACCATGCCACCAAGGTTCCTTTGGATGCACCACAGTCATGGAAAACCTTTGGAGCATATGTGGTTCTACTTTGACATTGATGGGGTTACAGTGAGTCAGAATGGCAATGGGTTTTTAGTTTTTTGTCCTTACTAAGGTGCTCTGGTAGCGTAGTGGTTACAAATTGGGCTGCAAACCTCAAAGTCAGCAGTTCTAATCCACCAGCCAACCCTCAGGAGAAAGATGAAGCTTCCTGCTCCCATAAAGATGTACAGCCTCAGAAGCCATCTATAGAGAGTCGATATGAGTAGTAAAAGGAGCTCTGGTAGCGTAGTGGTTACGAATCGGGCTGCAAACCTCAAGGTCAGCAGTTCGAAACTACCAGCTGTTCCGTGGGAGAAAGATAAGGCTCTCTGCTCCCGTAAAGATTTACAGCCTCGGAAACCCTGTACAGGGTCACTGTGAGTCAGAACCAACTGCATAGCACATAACAACAACAACCTGACTAAGAGTCCTGATGTGGTACTGGGGGTTAAAAGGCACTGGATTGTAAGGTCAGTTTGAACTGCAAAGTTGGTGGTTCAAGCTTACCAGCCGCTCCTGGAAAACCCTATACAGGGTGGCTATGAGTTGGAACTGCCTCAATGGTACTTAACAACAGGTTGTTACCACCTGAGCCTTTAGAGGCTCTGGTAGCGAGCGTAGTGGGTTATGAGTTGGACTGCTAACCACAAGATCAGCAGTTTGAATCTACCAGCTGCTCCATGGGCGAGAGATGAGGTTTTCTGCTCCCGTAAAGATTTACAGTCTCAGAAACCGACTCTTTGGCACATAACCACAATCACCTGAGCCTAGGCTCGAACCTACTCTGTGGGCTGGCTTCCAGGGTTACTTCTCCCAGCTCTAACCCCTCCACCCACACCCCTTCTTCAGGGCCTGTTCCCTGTCATTCAAACTGCCACTCATCGTTTAAGCCTTCCCTTGGAATCTCCCCTGAGGCCCCAAACCAGCTGCTGTCAAATCAGTTCCAAAGTAGAACTGTGTGTCCCTATTTAATCTCATAATCCCCTGGCTTCCCTTCCCCGCCCCTATGGCTGTTCCTAAGGATCTCGTTTTTTGTTCATGTGTGTGTGTGTGGTTTATACAGCTGCCGTCTGTCTTCTCCATTAGGCTGGGAGCCCCAGGAGAGCGGGGTCAGGCTGTCTGGGTCACCACAGCATCCCCAACACTGCCCCATACAGGCTGGATACAGAAAGAGCACTTAGGGGGAAGTTTGCTGAAGGAATGAATAAATGAGCAGCTTAGCATCAATGCTATGAGTTGGTACCAACTTGATGGTACTTAACAACAACAACAAAGCATCTGTAGGAGTCAGCTGAGAAGCCTTGGTGGTGGTGCCATGGGTTAAATGCTGGTCTGCCAACCTTCAGGTCGGCAGTTTGAACCTACCAGCTGCTCACAGGACAAAGATGAGACTGTCTGCTTCAGTAAAGACTGTGGTCTCAGAAACCCTAAGGAATAGTTTCACTCTGTTCTGGAGGGTTGCTGTGAGTCCGAATTGAATCGATGGTAGTGGGCTTTTCTGTGTGGGGGGGAGTTGAGTTAGGGGACAGCTAAAGGGTCCTGGTGGTGCCATGAATCAACATCAATTTGATGGCTACTGGTTTGATCTTTGGAGTGGCTTCGAACTGGTTCTTCCCCATGGCCCACAAGCCTGTCCCCTCCATGCCACAGACCACCTTCTCACACCTCCTCCTTATCCACCAACTTATAGCCAAGCCATTCCTTTGTCTATGCTTTGACTGCACCAAGCTGGTCTTGCCTCAGGGCCTTTGCACTTGCTGTTCCCTTTGTCTGGCCCTGTCTCCCTCTAGAAAACACAAGGGTCCCTCCTCCCCCTCCCCCTCCTCTCCTCTCAGCCTCTGCTCACACACTGTCTCCACAGCGAGGCCCATAGCCTCTCTTTCCAAATAAAAACTTCCAGGTTAATTTTCTTTACAACTAGGGGAACCCTTGTGTGTGCCTCAACTTCCTCATCTGTAAAATGGGTCGCATACTATTGCCCACCTCACAGAGCACATGTGAAGATTACAACAGCTGGCATATGACAGGCTGGCATGTGATATGCACCAAATCATATTTCAGAAGACCCATCGGTTGACCGTGAGTTGGTTTGGACTCACGGCGACTCCGTGTACGTCACAATAGAACTGTACCCCTTAGGGTTTTTAATGGATGATATTTTTGGAAAGTTACCAGGCCCTTTCTTCCAAGATGCCTCTGGATGAACCTGAACATTTTGATTAGCAGCTGAGCATGTTAACTGTTTGTAAAAAGTTACCTCAAGCATACAGTGTTGTCGTTAAGTGCCGTGGAGTCAATTCTGACCCATAGCGACCCTGTATAGGGTTTCCAAGGAGCAGCTGGTGAGCTTGAACTTTCAAATGACTTGCAGTTCAAATGACTTTGCAGTCTGACGCATTAGCCCACAGCGTCACACCAGGACTCCTCCAGGCATACAATAGGCACTCAATAAATATCTGATTAATTCATGCATGTGAGGAATACATGAGAAAATGCATTCCCCAGGATCTGGCTCCCTGTTTAGCATAAAGTAGATATTCAATAGCTAATTTACTTCCTAATTGATGTGCATGAGGCTTAAACAATATTGTGTATCCTTCGGGCCTGGAACACAGTCTCTAAACCCTTGTCTTAGATTAAGTTGTGTGCCCCCAAAATATGTTTCAGTTTGACTGGTCCATGATTCTCAGTGGTTTGACAGTTCAGTGATGATAATCCCTCAGCATGTGATCCGATGTGATAAACCAGTACCCTTACCCCCATCACAGGGCTGATGTGATGTCAAAGGGGTTTTCTGCGGTACAGCCTGAAACACCTTTTGCTTACAAGAGAGATGCATGAGCAGAGCTTTGAGGGGCCTACTATACCAAGAAAGAAGAGCCCAAGAGTGGAGTGTCTGCTTTGGGCCTGCGGTCCCTGAACTGTGAAGCTCTCAGATCCAGAGGAAGATTGATGCTAAGACACGAGGACATCTCCAAGGAATGCTGGGTCTACAAATGCCGAAAGGAAACAAAGCCCTTTCCTCGGGGCTGACGCCCAGAGAAAGCCTTCCCCTAAAGCTGGCACTCTGTATTTGGACTTGGAGCCTCCTAAAGTGTGAGGAGCCAATACATTACTGTTTGTCGAAACCATCCCCTTGTGGTCTTTCTGTGATAGCAGCCTTAGAGAACTCAGGCAACTCTCAAAGCTTACCAGCCACCTTGACCTCAGTCTTGGCCTTCATGCTCCAGGAAGGATTGATGGTGACAGACACTTGGTAGATGCCACTGTCCTCGGGCTGGGCACGGCGCAGCAGCATGGAGCCATTGGAGAAGCCAACGATGTCCCGCTTCCCCATGGCATTGCCATCCCTCTGGGGCCTCTGCAGCTCTGGGATGTAGGAGAAGAGCATCGTGCTACCGTATGTCTTCTCCCCTTGGTACCAGTTGAAATCCTGGAAGGTTTCTGGCATGCCCTGGACAGACAGAAGGAGGTCCTGGTTCTTTAGAGGCTGCTCTGGAATCTTCTGGATGTAGAGGGCTGCCTGGGAGCTTTGGAACATCCCGAGGGCCAGGATTGAGGCTGTGGGGAGTTACAGGGAAGAACTGAGATTGGGAGTGTCAAGCACGGACCATGGTGTTTTCCTCCTTAGAGAACCTCAGTACTGCTCATTGGAAACGGTGTGGGGATTGATTGGTGATGTCTGCCCTGAGCACAGGTGTGGAGAACATAGTCAGGATAACACAGATTTGCCATTCCGCTGACCCAGAAAGTGTTTCTGCCCCAAAGTGCTCTATGGCCTATTTTTAAACACTTGGACTCTCTGAATCCATTTATTCAGTCATTCAACCAACCAGTACTTGTTAGCTGCTTTTGAGTTGGCCCTATCTCATCAACAAATGAAATGCTACCTGATTCTGCACCACCCCCACCATTGTTTGTAGATTGGACAGTGTTGCCTTGTGATCCACAGGGCTTCATTGGCTGATCACCAGCCAGGGAGATTCCTACGCAGTCTGGGTCCAGATCTGTTCAGCATCTTAGCAACATTCAAAACTTCACTGACAGACAGTGTCAGGCATATAAAAGGTTTACAATAAACAATTGTTGCTGTCGTTGTTAAGTGCCATCAAGTCGGATCTGACCCACAGCAACCCTATACAGGGTTTCTGAGGAGCGACTGGTGGGCTTGAACCGCTGACCTTGTAGTTCAAACGACTTTGCAGTCTGGCGCATTAACCCACAGCGCCACACCAGGACTCCAGTTGTTGCTGTTAGGTGCCATCAAGTTGGTTCCAACTCTCAGTGACCTTGTACAGGGTTTCTGAGGCTGTAAATCTTTACAAGAGCAGAAAGTCTCATCTTTCTCCTGCAGAGTAGCTGGTGGGTTTAAACTACCAATCTTGTGGTTAGCAGATCAGTGCTTATCCTACAAAGCCACCAGTACTCCAATGTGATACAATACCAGTACTATATATGAGGAAGCTTCAGAAATTTCATGGAAAAATGGAATTAAAAGATAACATGGAATTTTCTCATGAACTTTTGGAAGCCCTCTTGTATTATGCATACTATGATTATTAAGGAGCTCTGATAGTGTAGTGGTTACGAATTGGGCTGCAAACCGCAAGGTCAGCAGTTCAAAACTACCAGCTGTTCTGCGGGAGAAAGATGAGGCTTTCTGCTCCTGTAAAGAGTTACAGCCTTGGAAACCCTGTACAAGGTCGCAATGAGTCGGAACCAACTCCATGACATGTAACAACAACAACAACAACAATGATTATTAAAAAGCATATGGTGGTGGTGGTTATGTGCCATGGAGTCAGTTCCGACTCATAGCATATACATACATATATTGTTGTTGTTAAGTGCCGTCGAGTCGATTCCGACCCATAGTGACCCTGTATAGGGTTTCCAAGGAGCAGCTGATGAGCATGAACCATCGACCTTGCAGTTCAAAGGACTTTGCAGTCTGACACATTAGCCCACAGCGCCACACCAGGACTCCACATACATATATATAATATCCTTGTTAAAAAGCAAAGATATCACTTTGAGGACTGAGGTGTGCCTGAGATTTTCAATCACTTCATATGCATTGGAAAGCTGGACAATGAATAGGGAAGACCGGAAAAGAATTGATGCTTTTGAATCTGGCAAAGAGGATTGAATATGTGACGGACTGCCAGAAGCAACAAATCCGTCTTGTACAGGCAGAAGGCTCCTTAAAAGCGAGGATGGAGACACTTCGTCTCCTATACCTTGGTCAGGAGGGATCATTCCCTGAAAAAGGGCATCGTGTGTAAAAAAGTGGAGGGTCAGCAGAAAAAGAGGAAGACCCTCAAGGAGATGGGCTGACACAGTGACTGAAAGAAAGGTCCAATCATACCAGCTGTGCGGAGGCCACAACCCGGGTAATGTTTCATTCTGTTGGGCAAAGTCCCTGTGAGTCAGAACCCACTGACCAGAACCTAGTAACCTCTTGTTTCCCTAGGTTTCTAGGCCCTGAAGACACAGCAGGGAACCAAATACAAATAAATCCCTGTCCTCGGGAGTCGTGACACTCTAGAAAATTCCATAGATAAAGTGGGCATGGTATTGTGGTTCTACTGCAGGCTCTCTGTCCCCACCACTTGAATAATTCCATCTTTCCCTCCTCCAAGAAGCAACCTCCTCTCTGGACTGAGTCCCAGCTTCTCCTTTAGCCCTAGTAGCGTAGTGGTTAAGAATCAGGCTGCGAACCTCAAGGTCAGCAGTTCAAAACTACCAGCAGTTCCTCAGGAGAAAGAGGAGGCTTTCTGATCCTGTAAAGATTTACAGCCTGGGAAACCCTGTACAGGGTCACTATGAGTCGGAACCGACTCCACAGCACATCACCACCACCACCTTTAGCCTTGGGGGGTGGGGGTCTCTCCTTACCTGAGAGCAGAAGGCTATTTGAGAAGCAGCCCTGGGCACAGGTGAGAGTCTCCATATTGGTGCCCTGTGGCAATCCCATGGGGATACCTGCTGGACACGGAGGGGGCCAGGGAGCTGAGTCCAGGCCGTCTGAAAGGGGCTAGCTCAGTGGGGGTCCCGGGGTGGCCTCAGTGCTAAGGCTGAGGCCTGCCCAGGCTCAGCACCCCTTTCCACGGGCTCTGGAGACTCTGCCTTGCTGTGCTCCCAGGGCTAAACGCTCAGACACCACCGGTGGAACAAGTTTCCCAGGATGACTAGGGAGCGTCTTGGGGCTTCCCAGGACTCCGCCCTCTCTTCATCCTTTTCACATCTTCCCACTTGGTGTGACTACCAGTGGGTGGCAACAGAAGTCATTACAACAGCTGTCATGTCATGCCCCCCTGTGCTGGGCAGACCCAACCTCGTCCGAGCTCCACCATACACAACCGCTCCCATTTCACAGATGAGGTGACTGAGGCTCAGGGAAAAGCAAGTCTGCTCTAAAACCCTTGGTGTGGTTTTTCTAAAGCGTCTCTCCATGCCATCACTCATTCCTACTGGCTGGCACTCCCTGTGCTTGGTGATGACTGAGACAGCCCCTGCCCAGCCCTTAGCCCTGTGAGGCAGACAGACCCACCCTCAGACAATGAAGGCTCAGAGTGATCGGGGCTGGAATGATGGTGCCCAAGGAGACAGCTGACCCAGCCTGGGGTCCCAGAGGGATTCCTGGAGGAAGGGATATGGGAGCTAAGATCTGGAGTGGGATAGGAGCAAAAGGAGACAGATGATGGGTGGGACAGGGTGAGGTGGACCAGGCAGAATAAACACCTCATGCAAAGGTGAGGTGCACACCCAGGGGGTGGAGAGCGAGCAGGAGGGGGCAGGAGCAGCGGGAGAGGTGGGCAGAACCTGGGTGATGAAGGGTCTATTCCTGTCCTGTCTGATACCATGGTTGCTAGTTACAGGTGACCATTTACGTTAACTTTTTTGCTTGTTTATTATTTTAAGCTCTCTTTTTGGTTTGTTTAGTTTTGGAATAATTTTGTAAATTGCAAAAATATCTACAATATGACACGTGCCAATTCAACAGCTTTAGGTGGATAATTTAGTGATTTGGACATGTTGTCAGGAGGGACCAGTTTCTGGAGAAGGTCATCATTCTTGGTAAAGTGGAGGGTCAGTTTTAGGGGAAAAGAGGAAGACCCCCCAACCCCAACAAGATGGATTGACACGGTGGCAGTAACAATGGGTACAAATGTAGCAGCGATTGTGAGGATGGTTTAGGACCGGGCAATGTTTGGTTTAGAGCTGACCCAACAGCACCTAACAACAACAACAATTTAGTGATATCACTTACAGTACGCACGTTGTATAACCATCACCCAAGATTGTTGTCAATTTCTCCATCCTCATAAACAGAAGCCCGCTGTCAAATAACACGTCTGAATTCATTCTAATGAAACACACTTTAAAAGAAAAAAAATTTTTTTTTCTACCATAAATGAACCAAAAATCTGCTGCCTTCTATTAGAACTCAAGTCCACTCCAACTCCTGGCGTCCCACGTGTTACAGAGGAGAACTCAGTTCCATAGGCTTTTCTTCAGGTCATTTGTACAGAAGTAGATTGCCAGGCCTTTCTTCCTCAGTGCTGCGGGGTGGGTTTGAACCACCAACCTTTTAGTTAGTAGCCAAGGCAAACTGTTCACACCTCTCCACATTTGGGGCCACAAACTAGGCACTTCCAGGTGATACAGTAGCCACCACTCTTAATGTGGCTTCTTGTGTGCTGGCTAGTGGATTTCAATTTACAATGACCCCATGAGGTAGAGTAGAACTACCCCACAGGGTTTCCTAGGCAACTGGTCATCTAATGGGAGCAGTTCTACCTTGTCCTGTGGTGTTCCTATGAGCCAGAATCGACTTGATGGCAGTTGATTAATCTTACAGAGCTATTTGGGAGTGGTCCACACTGTAGCTCTGCTTGAAGGAAGTGTACATTCCTGGGAGGGGTTTCCAGTTCCCCATCTCCCCAACATTCCCTAAGCCTAGAAGTCCCCTACAGGATCTACCCTTAATCCCTCTTGCTGCAGAGATTGCCTGTCTGGCTGCCTGAGGTTGTTGCAGACCCAGCAATTATTTCCAAGTGTAGCTGCCTAGGGAGGGTCAGAGACATTCAAGTTTGGGCTAAAAGAGGATTGCCCATTTCAGGTCTCATTCTGCAGCTGGGTCATGAGAAGTCAGCAGTGGAGTTTAGGGGTCAAAATGATTCTGATAAATTTCCACTGCAACTTGCCAGGATTAAAGGTTTTGTAAACAGCCAGTTCCTTTGGATTTTCCAGTTGCTGGTCTTTCTGTCCTGGATCCCTGGTGGTTTCGTTGGTTACAAGGTGGGCTGCTAAGCCCCAGCGGCTCTGCAGGAGAAAGATGAGACTTTCTGCTCCAGTCAAGATTTACAGGCTCAGAAACTCTATATACTGGGTTGCTGTGAGTCAGAATCTACCCAATGACAGTGAGTGTGGGTTTTGGCTTTGGTTTTAATCTCTCATATAATAACTGATTCCTGTGCATAATTAAGGAGGGGAAAAACCCCCAAACCAGTTGTGAGATCAGCACCCACTTACTGCAATAGTAGGTTTGTCAGAGTACACTGGTGCTCACTGGGGTTTTCAGTGACCGATTTTTCTAAGGTAGTTTGACAGGTCTTTTTTTCCAAGGCACTGCTGGGTGGTTTGGGACAGACAAGCATGTTAACTATCTGCACCACCCAGAGATTCCAATGAAAAGAAAAGCTGAGGTTTATTATAGAAATTTAGACACTATGGACTCAAAAAGGAAATAGTAAAATGTATTTTCTAACTACTCAACAACCTTCCCAGTATCTAGCCATGATCTTGAAGCTTTCATCCCTTCTTCTCCGATTGGTTCAAACCTCCCAGTGATCTCATTCTTTGGCCAGGGATTGGTTGAGCGATGGGCGTGGGCGGTACTGGCCAACGTGAACCGAGGAGGCGCTGCTGGGACAGGTTTCTTGCTAATGATGTTCAACCTGGAAGGGTGAGGACATCTTACCTGAGATGTTTTGTGGAAGGCAGCAGCTAACTTGTCTCAGCCCAAGGATGGCGCCCATGTGTTGGGGGAAAGCAAAACAAACAGCTGAGAAACAGAGCGGAGCCCCACCTACAACAACTGAGCGGAACCAGAGAATCCAGTTCTCGGTTTTTAATCTGCTACTGGTGTGGCGCTGGACTGCAAGGTGGGTTTGAACCGCAAGGTTGGTGGTTCAAACTCACCAGGTGGTCCTCGGAAACCCTATACAGGGTCGTTATGGGTTGGAACCAACTCCAAGACACTTAACAACAACATTGTCCACGCAGGAGTCCTGGTGTGGCGCTGTAGGGTAAGCACTGGACTTCAAGGTTGGTTTGAACCTCAAGGTCGGCGGTTCAAATCCACCAGCCACTTCTCAGAAACCCCATACAAGGTCGCTATGGGTCAGAACCGACGCGATGGCACTTAATAACAAACGTGGGTGCAACTATCACATTTTTATCTACACCATTCTTCATAATTTAGACTTATTAATGATACGCCAAGAAGATTTCTGTTAATTTTTTAAATTATTGTTTTAAAAAACATTATGAATTGAGTGAAGATTTACAGAGCAGATCATCAATTTTACATTCAATAAATCAGACAATAAATCCCCTCAATGTAACATCACTTATCCCACTTCCTCCCTGAAATTCTGGTTTCCATTAAGCCTTCCCCCCCCCCCCCAATTCTTAATTGCTTCCTTAGGTAAATGCTGCCCTAGTTTTGTTGTCCCTCCTATTGGCTGAAAATTGAATCATGGGGGTGAGTTCAGTTCCAGAGCTGAAGGGTGACCGAGGACCCTAGTCTTAAGAGTTCCACCAGTCTCAATGTGATCAGTAAGCTGGATTTTTTTTTTTTTTTAGTGATTTTGAGCTTTGTTTCACATTCTCTCCCACTCTATCCAGAACCTTCTAACATGATCCCTGTCAGAGCAGTTGGTAGTGCAGCTGGGCACCATCTAGTTCTGGTCTCAGGATGGTGGAGACTAATGTTCTCCTGGCCACTCGATCTATTGGACTCATGTTTCCAAACATCTTCAATTTTCCTCTTCTTTCTTCCAGACACAGAGAGACCAATATTTGCACCTTAGATGGCTGCTCATGAGATTTGAAGATCCCAGTTACTACTCATTAAAGTAGGCTATAGAACATTCTTTGTGGACTACGTTGTGTCGATTGACTGTGGTGTCCCCTGAGACTATGGTCCTGAAACCCCAGGTCCAGCAACTCAATACCTCAAGGTATTTGGTAACGATTGTGTGGCGCTGTGGGCTAATGCGTCAGACTGCAAAGTCTTTTGAACTGCAAGGTCGGTGGTTCAAGCTTACCAGCTGCTCCTTGGAAACCCTACACAGTATCACTATGGGTCAGAATCGGACTTCTGGTGTGGTGTTGCTGGTTACTGCGATAAAGGTTTGAGCCATTAAGGCCAGCAGTTCCAACTCACCAGCTGCTCCTTGAAAACCCTGTACAGGGTCGCTATGAGTCGGATCCCGACTCGATGGCACTTAGAAAAAATGGGTCAGAATCGACTTGACGGCACTTCACAAGAATATTTCACCACGTTCATGGATATGTTTCCAGCAAAGGTAAATACCCAGGTATAAATACCCTCTTCCTCCCACACCTGTTCATCTATCCAGGTACCTACCTGCAGATCACCATTATTGCAGGATGTATATATAACAGTATTTACCTCTGCTCCCTTTAACTCTTGCACTCCTCTATGTCTTCACCATTCTTCTGCCAACCTCCTTCTTATTGTATATTTCTTTCCCCTTTGCCCATATTGTTAAGTGCTGTTGAGTCCCAACGAGATGGATTGGCACAGTGGCAGCATCAATGGATTCATAGCAACAGTTGTGAGGCTGGCGCAGAACCGGGCAGGGTTTCGTTCTATTGTGCATAGGGTTGCTATGAGTCAGTACCAACTTGATGGCACCTAACAATAACTATTCCATTGTATAGATACAACA